AGAAGTTCCTCAGCTCTTCTCCCCCAGTCTACAAACACACCAGTACCCAGGTCAATTGCTTCCTCCTTCCCTCCTGTTATAACAGAGGAAGCATTTGGTTCTTTAATCACCCTCTTGTACACTGTGCTTTGGCTCCTGTATCCTCTACTTTCTCAAGGACCTTACATTATTATTATCCTTTCTCTTCTGTATCCTCCATCTCTCCCTCTCAACTGGGTCTTTCCGATTGGTATTTACATGTCACCTATCTTTAATTTTACCAATGCCCTCCTTTATTTCACTAAGCCTCCTCTAGCTTGCTTCACAAATAAGAGGTGACTTTGCTTTCTGTCTGTTTCATCTCCAAATCACTTCTTACATTCTAATTTAGCTCTGCCTCCACCACTCACTGAATTCAGTGGACAGTCTCTGCTGACTTTTAAGGAGCACTTGACACTGTTCACCATATTCATTCCTCCTGTTTGCTTCTGCGATGCCAGAGTCTGCTCATTTTCCTCCCAGGTCTTTGGTTCTTTTCTTGTGTCATCTTTGCCTGTGAACTTAGAGCTCCTCCACCCCAATCCTTGGAGTCAGTGGTATTGTTGGCATTTCTCTAGTTTCACATGGCCATTTCTAAATCATTTTCATGCAGAGCTCCTTTCATATTTGTTTCATTCTGCACAGTTATAATACCTTCTATCCACTGGCAGCGATATACCTTCTACTGATTTCTAGTCACTTCTGCTTCTCCATTGAAAACCTTGGCATTTGATTGCTTCTCCTTCCTTCACCTATGCTGTCCTCATTCTTTTATTTTTGTCACCTTATTAACGTCTCCTAGGTGCCACATTCTTTACCTACCTGCCACATCCCTACCTTCCTTTAGTAAATTACACTATGAATAAAGACCTTTGGTTTATCATCTGGGTGGACTCCCATCTCTGCTGCTGTACTCAGATGAACCTCTTCCCCCTGCTCCCCCCACTACTTCTGATCCTTCTTGCTTGGCCGTTCTTCCTTAGTATCCTTTTTTTTTCTTTTTACTTTGAGTATTTATTTTCTATTGCTGCTAGAACAAAGTACTGCTAGCTTAGTGGCTTAAAACAACGCAAATGTATTATCGTATAGTTCTGGGGCTCAAAGTCTCACTGGGCTAAAGTCAAGGGGCCATCAGGGCTGGATTCTCCTTGTGGCTCCAAGAGTGAATGTTTCCCTCCTTTTTCAGCTTCTACAGGCTTCCTGCCTTCTTGGACTCCTGGCCCCTTCCTTACTTTACTCATCATTTCTCCTACTACTGACCCTGATCCCCCTGGCTCCCTCTTATAAGGATCCTTATGATGACATTGAGCCCACTTGGATAATCCAGGATAATTTCCCCATCTCAGTATCCTTAATGTCTGCAAAGTCCTTTTTATCACGTAGGGAAGCATATTCACAGGTTCCTGTGATTAGGATGTGGTCAAGCTCGGGAGGTGGGGCATTGTTCTGCCTCCCGCTCCTGCTCTGGACTTGGTTCTGTCAACCACTCTCTACGTCCTAGTCCCCCTCCTCCACGTTAGCTCTTCTGCAAATTATCCTACCCTTAGTAGTCACATCAAGTCACCTCAGTTCCTGCCGGAAAACCCTCTAAGGAAGGCCTTTCTTTTACACTCAGATGGGAGGTTTAGCATAAAAACAAACTCCCTCCTCTGGCCATCAAAGGCCATCTGTAACCTGACCTCTGTCTCATCTCTAATTTCACATCAGACAGGTCTCCTTCACCTTCTGGCCACAGTGGTCATCATGTCTGGTCCTTGAAACACACAGGGCTTGTATTCACCCCAGGATCTTTGTGTTTGTTCTTTCTGCCCGGAATCCTCTGTTCCCAGATTGTCACGTGACCTTTTCCTTCCTATGACTGATGACTCAGCTCAGATGCTGCCTTTTCATAGTGACTTTCCCTGCCCCGCCAATCTGAGCCAGCTACCTGTCACCATGACACCTGAGTAATTAACCACTGTCTGGTTTCTTGTTTATGTCTGTCTTCTCCCTGAATCTAAGCTCCTTGAGGGCAGGGAGGTTTGGTGTGTTTTCTTCATTGCTATGCTCCAGGATCCTAGAACAGTGCCTGGAACTTTAATAGGGACTTACATACTGAATGAATGTTGAATATTGTGAATGAATGTTGAATATGTCTATTTTCTCTTTAACTATTTGCATATTAGTAAAATATAAGCTTTATGAGGAGAGATAGCTTGTCTTGGTCACTGTTTTTGCTAGTACCTAGAACCATGCTTGATCCTTAAGAGAAGAAAGTCCTTAAAGAGAAGTCGCTCAGTCGTGTCCAACTCTTTGCGACCCCATGGACTGTAGCCCGCCAGGCTCCTCTGTCCATGGGATTCTCCAGGCAAGGATACTGGCGTGGGTTGCTATTTCCTTCTTTCTCCAGGGGATCTTCCCAACCCAGGGATCGAACCCGGGTCTCCTGCATTGCAGGCAGACGCTTTATCCTCTGAGCCACCAGGGAAGCGCTTGATCCTTACTAGGTGCTTAATCNCCCCATCTCAGTATCCTTAATGTCTGCAAAGTCCTTTTTATCACGTAGGGAAGCATATTCACAGGTTCCTGTGATTAGGATGTGGTCAAGCTCGGGAGGTGGGGCATTGTTCTGCCTCCCGCTCCTGCTCTGGACTTGGTTCTGTCAACCACTCTCTACGTCCTAGTCCCCCTCCTCCACGTTAGCTCTTCTGCAAATTATCCTACCCTTAGTAGTCACATCAAGTCACCTCAGTTCCTGCCGGAAAACCCTCTAAGGAAGGCCTTTCTTTTATACTCAGATGGGAGGTTTAGCATAAAAACAAACTCCCTCTTCTGGCCATCAAAGGCCATCTGTAACCTGACCTCTGTCTCATCTCTAATTTCACATCAGACAGGTCTCCTTCACCTTCTGGCCACAGTGGTCATCATGTCTGGTCCTTGAAACACACAGGGCTTGTATTCACCCCAGGATCTTTGTGTTTGTTCTTTCTGCCCGGAATCCTCTGGTCCCAGATTGTCACGTGACCTTTTCCTTCCTATGACTGATGACTCGGCTCAGATGCTGCCTTTTCATAGTGACTTTCCCTGCCCCGCCAATCTGAGCCAGCTACCTGTCACCATGACACCTGAGTAATTAACCACTGTCTGGTTTCTTGTTTATGTCTGTCTTCTCCCTGAATCTAAGCTCCTTGAGGGCAGGGAGGTTTGGTGTGTTTTCTTCATTGCTATGCTCCAGGATCCTAGAACAGTGCCTGGAACTTTAATAGGGACTTACATACTGAATGAATGTTGAATATTGTGAATGAATGTTGAATATGTCTATTTTCTCTTTAACTATTTGCATATTAGTAAAATATAAGCTTTATGAGGAGAGATAGCTTGTCTTAGTCACTTTTGCTAGTACCTAGACCCACGCTTGATCCTTACTAGGTGCTTAATATTTTTTGAATGTTGAATGAATTTATGCATGAATGAATGAATTCATTGACTTTGGCCTCCAGCCAGGTACCATGGTAAGATCATGTTTGCCATCTTGCCTGCTGGATATTACCTAACCTTCTCCCCTGCCAGCACCTTCTACTTCTTTGCCCTGGGAAGTCCACCCCTTGACTTTCAGTGCTGATCATCCTGTCTCCCTGTGGTTCTGGTTCATCCCCTCTCTCTTCCCTATAAGTGTCTGACCAAACAGTTTTCATTTCCTTGTTTAAAGGGCTTTAATTGTAAATAAACTTCTGTCTTACATTTCCCTGAAGAAGGAAATGGCAGTCTTCTCCAGTGTTCTTGCCTGGAGAATCCCATGGACGGAGGAGCCTGATAGGCTGCAGTCCATGGGGTTGCAAAGAGTCCTGAGCGACTTCATTTTCACTTTCTTACATTTCACCCTATGTGTTACTTTTTTTTTTTTTTTGGTCTACTTGATCCTTCACTGTAAGCTCCTGAAGAATCTTATTTTATATTTCTAAAACCGATGACAGTACCTGCTTATATTGTATATTAGTATTATATCATATGCCTAATAAACGTTTCTAGTATGAAGTACTGGTTTTAGTCTTAAAACAGCTATGTGAAACTTTCTGTATATGAGTATTTTCCTCATTTTATCAATGTAGAAACTGAAGGTCAAGGTTATTAAGAGATTTTTTTTCCCTTCAAAGTCTCCTTTTGAGTAAATGACAGAGGTGGGATGTTGCCCTGAGGCTTTTGTCCTATTCAGCAGTGTTACTGCTGCCCTCAAATTGAACGGTTGTTGCTGAGCCGGAAAAGATGCCGGAATTCTTGGCCTCCAGAGGAGAGAAATTCAATCTGGGGCCAGTGACAAGGCTTAATCACTCAGAGCTTTTGTATAATAAAGTTTTATTAAAGAATAAATGAGATAGAAAGCTTCTAACATAGACATCAGAAGGGGGCAGAAAGAGTGCCCCCTGCTCGTCTTTAGCCGGATGTTAGATTGCTACGAGCAGTCTGCTCATTAGAGAGAGGAGATGTCTCAAAACTCAGAGGCTGGCACCAGGCCCCTCACCCACAACATGCATTTTGAGATAACACTGGCACGAGGTGAGTTGTCCCGGGCCATAAAATGATGGACGTGAATCTTGAAGAAAGGCAGGTTTCCAAGCAAATACAGTCTCATTAACACAGCTTAAGAGAACATTTGCATGAGTTTGTCAAGTTGGTTCTGAGTCTTAGGCAGAAAAGACTGGAAGACAGAGTCTAGGGTAAATGCATAGTCCATTAACATAGCTTAAGACAAACATTTCCGGGACTGGAGAAGGGAGGCTGCGGGCGAAGCGCGCCGTCGAGCGGGGGAGCGGCGCTGCCTGTGGAGATCCGAGGAGGCTGACCAGATTCGTTGGCTGCCGTCCCCGCTGCCGTGCACTGGAGAGAAGCTTTTTATCAGCCACAAGAAACTAATATATATAGATTTGAGCTCATTGACTTGAAGATGCTGCTTTTGGACTGCCTCTGAATAAGATGATGGTTAAAAACTACATCTAACGCCACCCATGAAAGATCCCAGTCGCAGCAGTACTAGCCCAAGCATCATCAATGAAGATGTGATAATTAATGGTCATTCTCGTGAAGATGACAATCCATTTGCAGAGTACATGTGGATGGAAAATGAAGAGGAATTCAACAGACAAATAGAAGAGGAGTTATGGGAAGAAGAATTTATTGAACGCTGTTTCTAAGAAATGCTGGAAGAAGAAGAAGAACATGAGTGGTTTATTCCAGCTCGAGATCTCCCACAAACTATGGACCAAATCCAAGACCAGTTTAATAACCTTGTTATCAGTGATGGCTCTTCCCTGGAAGATCTTGTGGTCAAGAGCAATCTGAATCCAAATGCAAAGGAGTTTGTTCCTGGGGTGAAGTACTAAAATATTTGAGTAGACGGGGCCCTCTTTTGGTGGATGTAGCACAATTTCCACACTGTGAAGGCAGTATTAGAAGACTTAATTGTAAAAGCTCTCTCTTGTCACTGTGTTACACTTATGCATTGCCAAAGTTTTGTTAGTCTTGCATGCTTAATAAAAGTGCTGAGACTGTTATTAAGTAAAAAGCTGTCAAACATTTACTGAGAATAGAATTGGCCCCATGGCTTGACATGAAGACAGCAAGGAAAGAAGCACCAGTCAAATTGTGTCAAAGCACCAAATTAAATGATCTCTAAATCTAAATTAAATTCTACTTGTTAAGTGAGTTTCTCAGTTCAGTCTTAAATCTGCATTCCCATCAAAAAGAATCTCCTTTTTCTGAAGAAGGCTTGCTGGTTAATTGAAATAATTCAGTATAGACATTTAAGTATGTCTTTAGTTACTGAGGTTACAAGGTAGTGAACCTAAGTCTCCTGGCTTTTACGGTGTGTTATCATGTAAGAAAATACTGAATTATCCTAGTGTTACATCTAAGATAGTATGTGATTTGAGAATTCCATCCTTTTCTAAGGAGTCATTGCATCATAATTATTACCAGTGTAAAATCTAACATTTGACCAACCCATAATTCAATTGAACAAAGAAATTGTTATATAATTTGAGTGGTGCTTTTCCTTGCTTTGTTAACCATCACTACAATAGTCTGCAGCACAACTTTTCTTTTAACAAAGCTAGAACAGTTTTGGCTTCTTAAACTTCCTATTTGGGTAGGTTAAGCTGCCATACGTGTTCATTGTGAATAGTGTTTAAGTTGAAAATATTGTAAAAAAATTATATTTTTTCAAAAATATTTAAAAAAATTAATAGTAGAACTGAAAGAAAAAAAAAAAAAGACAAACATTTCCATAAGAAAAACCCATTGGTTAGCTCAAAGTCTGAGAAAAGTTAAGCTCCAGTGGAGCCAGGTATCGTCATGGCAACACAGAATTTTAAGAGAAACCTCTTTCTAAATTTGTGTAGAGAAGGGGAGAAAATCTAACACTTGTTTGCTTCCTCCTGCTGCTTAAGAGAGAGAGAAAAAATGTCTGGCACTTGCAGCCTGTTTCCTCAATTTGGAGACCCCTGGCCTTCCTGCCTGTTACCCTCTCAAAATCTTCTTACCACATGCCCTCCAGAAATCAGTCTTGGTTCACATCACAAATAAATATGAGGTTTTGTACTTTTTCAACTTTGTCCTCATTCTCAGACAGTTGTTTGTATCTGTGCTCACTTTTAGCTCATTCCTTCTAGCCTGAGACGAAGAGACATAACTTTCCCTATTGGAGAATCTTTCCTCCTTTTAAAAAGTTTTATTTTGATTTTTCAACCACATAGAAAGGTGAAATAGAAAATGCATACTCATATAACCATTGTCTATAACTAGTAGTTGTTAACATTTTTTACATACATTTCACCTGGAATTACAGATTTCATGATATTTTCTAAGTACCTCTGTTTCTGTCTCTTAAAAATGTTCCTACTGAACATTTTCCTCTAAAACATAATACAGTGATTATATGTAACAAAATGAGTTTTAATTCCTCAGTATTATCTAATAGTTCCTATTTGAACTTTCACAATTAGCTCCGCTAAGTGTGACTTCCAGTTGATTTGTTCTGTTTTCTTCTCTTTTTAAATAACATTGACCTGTTGAAAATATGGTACCAATTTTCCTATAGAATGCTTCACCTTCTGGACAGTTTTTATCACTTTGTTCTGGTGTCATTTAACTTATTATTCCACATCTTGCATTTCTTATATGCTAAGAAAAGTATAAGTCTTTCAGTTATCTCCGACTCTGTTGTGCCCTCATAGACTGTAGCCCACCAGGCTCTTCTATCCATGGGATTTCCCAGGCAAGAATACTGGAGTGGGTTGCCATTTCCTTCTCCAAAGGATCTTCCTGACTCAGGGATGGAACCCAGGGCATAGCCAGATTCTTTACCATCTGAGCCACCAGAGGAGCCCTATAACTGAGAGTTAAGTCTGAAGATTTTAATACATTCCTGCTAAATAGTTTTGATAAGAAAATTGCATAGGGAATGCTGTGTACTTCATGTCTTATCACACCTGGAAATATCAAATGTCAGTGTATTTTACTTTTTTATGGTACCGAGTTTGATTGCTTGATTAAGGTGATGATGGATTGGATTCCTCCATTGTGGAAGGAGCTCTACCCCCTTGCAGATATGAGGGGTCTTGGGCATCAGGGAATATCTTGTCTCTCCTAATAGTTATCGTGCCTTCTGATGATCCCTCACTCCAGGTTCTCAAAATAATTATTTCTCTTATTTTCGAGGACATTGTTGCATCTCAGTTTCCCTCTTGTGTTTTCACCAATGCTGTCTTTGACTCATTTACCTACAAAGATGTAGAAGATTTATTTTATTTTTTTTTTTAATAACATTTCACAAGTATTTACTCACTCATCCTCACAAGGAGCACTATTTTAAAGATGAGGAAACTGAGCACAGAAGATGCTGGGAATATTAAACTTTCCCAGAAGTGATTTCCTCCAAAAAGGCCTTGTAGCCAGTGCCTTGAGAAATGAAGGATCTTCGGGGAAAGTCTGGAGACCACGAGGGGTTTCCAGGTAGTGTATTAGTCACTCAGTCGTGTCCAACTCTTTGAGACTCCATGGACTGTAGCCCAACAGACTCCTCTGTCCATGAGATTCTTCAGGCAAGAATACTGGAGTTGGTTGCCATTCCCTTCTCCAAGAAGATTTCTTTAAATAGTTAACCCTTGGCATTACAACCCTCTCTAGTAACCATCATCTGTCTTGCTTTTGTCTTAAGGTCATAAAACAATGGTCCACATGCTATCTGCATTACTTGGTCTCCAAATTATTCTTAATCACACTCATTATTTCTTGCTAGACTACTGGACCACCAGGGAAGTCCCCCTCCTTGCTTTTCAACCTGTGGTAAACTTTTGAATCTGGGAGGAAGCATCGCCTTCTTTATGAAACTTTTCCACAAAGGACGGAATGACCCGTTCGCTCATTTGTATCTTCTTTACTCTGTATACCCTGCTCTCAAGGCATGCAGAATATATACTGAATATCCTTTTTTTCTTTTTTTTTTGATTGTATTTTCGGTATTTATTACTGGATTTCTTCAGTCATTGAATAGCATTTAGTAAATGTTTATATTCATGGCCGACTTACTTTTATTCCAGCCAGTGATTAGTTTTTGAGGTTGACAGTACTTTGGGAGTGGTGATGAGGGAAATCCTTGTATATCAATTATCTTTTCTTCCTCTATTGAGGAATTTGATACTTTTCCACTGTATGGTTTTTAATAGAAGGTAAATCAGCCTGCCAGTGCAGGAGATGCGGGTTCGACCCCTGGGTCGGGAAGATCCTCCTGTATGGGAGGATCATTGCTTCCCAAGTGGGCCTGTCACAGCCCCAAGCCCACTCCCCTTACTGTGTTCTGCTTATCAGGTTTGCGTCTCAAGAGCTCACTCTTTCTTTCTTGTGATTTGCCTGCAATTAAAGAGTATATGCAGATCTGCTCTGGTCTTTGGGAAGCATGTATATAACTCATTGCTTTCCCTTTCCTTCTCACTATGGAGACCTAATTGGTTTCCCAGGTGGTTCAGTGGTAAAGGACCCGCCTGCTGCTGCAGGTTCAATTCCTCTGTTGGGAAGATCCCCTGTAGAAAGAAATGGCCACCCACTCCAGTATTCTTGCTTGAAGAATTCCATGGACAGAGGAGCCTGGTGGGCTACAGTCTGTGGGGTTGCAGAGAGTCAAACATGACTGAGAATGCATGCAGGCATGGAGGCCTAATTACATTAATACCACTTAACCTTTATGCTAGTGCTGTAGGGCAGCAGATATTTGACCCAAGCCACTTTCTGAAAGCAGCAAAACACGTTTCCTCAATGGTGTCCTCAGAGGGACCTTTGGCAATCATGGTGTTTTAACCAAGAAAAATCTTGATCTGAAAAGTGGCTTCCACTCTTGGGAATCAGAGTCACAAATAATGTATTTCTTATATTGAGCTGTTATAGACCTCTGTAATGTTCCAGAATGTCCTGTGCCTCTCATGAAGCCCTTGTATGTAAGAGAAGAAGAAAGATGAAATCAGGCATGTTCAAGGTGGTATGGCTGTAAATTGGTCCAGCCAGCATGGAAAACAGTATAGAGGTTCCTCAAAAAAATAAAAGTAGAACCACACTTCTACTCTTGGGTATAGAGCTGAAGAAAATGAAAACATTAATTTAAAAAGATCTCTGCACCTCAGTGTTCTTAATAACATTATTTACAATTGCCAAGATGTGGAAGCAACTTAACTGTCCATTGACAGATGGGTGAAAAAGATGTGGTATACACACACATATACATACAATGGAAACTATTCAGCCATAGAAAGAATGAAGTTATGCCTTTTGCAACAACATGAGTGGACCTAAAGTGTATTATGCTTAGTGAAATAAATCAGAGAAAGACCAACACTGTATGTTATCATATGTGTAATCTGAAAAATAAATGAATGTAACAGAACAGAAACAGACTCACAGATACAGAGATCAAGAGTATTATATGTGGGGAAAGGGAAGGTAGGAGGGGCAAGATAGGGGTAGGAATTAAGAGGTATAAACCAACTGTATAAAATAAATAAGCTGCAGGGATGTATTGTACAGCATAAGGAATATAGCCATTATTTTATAATAACTTTAGAGTAAAATCCATTAAATTATTGAATAACTGTTGTATACCTCAAGCTAATATATTGTAAATAACTATAGGTTAATTTTTTATTAAGTGGGTAGACTAAGTCCAATATAAAGAAGAAAGTCAAAACTCAAAAAAAAAAGAAGCAAGTGCCTGTTTCTCTTAGGTTATTAGGCCAAGGTGGCTGCAATAGTACTCTGAGAGCCAACTATTTAGATTTTGGATACATTTGGAAAGTAGAGTTAACCATCCATGACATTGTGCTAATTGTTCATATTGTCTGTATTTTCTCCTTTTTTAGTTTCGCTATTCAAATTGGCTCGATAGGTTGTATATGGTGCTGGGGACTTTGGCTGCCATCATCCATGGAGCTGGATTCCCCCTCACGACGCTGGTGTTTGGAGACATGACGGATAGCTTTGCAGGTGCTGGAAATTTCAGGAACATAAGGTTTTCAAACATGACTAATGCAAGTAAGTGTTGTTTGTGGTACTGATTTTTTTTGAAAGCTTGATGAAAAGTCATTGACTCACAGTGAGGTTTGTGGAGTCCTCACTAATTATGCATTAATGTGTTTAGTGCTGCAGGAGATGGAGGGGTCTGAGCCATAGTTCATATCTGTAATGAATTTGAGAAGATGATATTCACAGTCATTAGAACATACAGTGTAAGTGCAGGTAGAGATAGATGGGAAAAGAGAGTTCTATGAAGTCAGAAATATCCAGGCAGTTTCAGGAAAAGGTATTGGAACCTAATCTGGTATTTGAATAGTAAGTAGGAATCAGTTACGCAGTTCTCTGACATATTGATCATGGGTACAAGAGACAGGAATCCAAGATGATTCTAAAGTTTTTAGTCTGAGAAACTTCATAAGCTGGATGCAGTTACTGTCAGTTGAGGTGAGGAAGATAGAGGGAGATCAGTTTTGGCAGTAAATACCAGAAATATAATTTTGGGCATCGTCACAGGTTGGGCTTTTTGGAAATATGAAAATGGAGAAATGGGGACAAGAGAAGCTGTGTGTGTATTTAGGATGGTAGAATAACAGCTTGTTAGCATGCTAATAGAAATTATCCAAGATAGAAGAGAAAGTGATGCTTTGGGGGAGAGGAGAGAGATTGGTTTGAGTGCTGTCCTTAAGAAAGGAAGGAAACTTATGCTTAAGAGGAAATACTTGCTTGAAGTACAGGCATGAATAGTTCACCAATAATAACGGGTGAGAAGACAGAGTATTTGAGAGTCAGTGCCCACAGGTTGGTATACTTGGACATGAGGATTTGTAGAACCTGTCTTCTCAGTCAAATAGGAAGCAAGACATTTGGCTGACCAAGAAAGGAAACCTAAAGTAAGTTCCGGGAGTTCCCTGNGTCTTCTCAGTCAAATAGGAAGCAAGACATTTGGCTGACCAAGAAAGGAAACCTAAAGTAAGTTCCGGGAGTTCCCTGGCCATCTAGTGGTTAGAACTCCACACACTCTGCTGAGGGCCCACGTTGACTCCTTGGTCAGGGAACTAGAAAAATCTCCTAAACTGCATGGCATGGCCAAAGAAAAATAGGTTTCTTAGCAGAGTGAGAAAGTGAGTGGACTAGGGTGTCACACTTTCACATCCTTGAACTTGACTGAGGAGAAACTGGTTCATAACTGTGAGCTCCCAAGTCACCTTTGGTCAATGTATGCTGATTTCAACTAAAATGCACAAAGACTTACAGCCTGATGTGCACCCAAGTCATGGAAACCTTGAAGAGGCCTGTTTGTGCACTCCAGGATTTAGTGACATATTTGCAGGACCTTTAAGTCTCTGATGATTGCTGTGAATCCTTTCCCCCAGAAATAAGTGCGTAGATATGCATGCCACTTGGGGGTCTTTATGAATCCTCTGATACCTGTCTGTGGATCCTAGGAACTTTTTTGTGTGTGTGTGATCCTGAAGAGCACATTCTTTACCCTGCGGCAGCACTACTTCACATTATGTGAATGCCGGTAACGAGTTGGGCTAGAGAATCTTATTGTGTGTCTGAGCTCTGTAAAGTTCTCTTGTGTTTGTAAGCTCCTTCAAAGGGACCAGTCAAAAGATGTTGCATCGCATTTGGACTGGTACCTTTCTTTCATACCAGTCACCAAAAGGAAATGTTTAGGGCTTTCTGTGTTCATTGGTTCCCATGCATGCTATGTAATTTAGCAGTATTCTTTGGAGTTGTGTTACCACCTTACAGTGCTAGAATCTTCTAGTGCTCTGCAGTAGCTCAGCCGACTTTATATGTGCATCTGTGACCCATTTTGATCTTACTCATTTTTTAACTGAGTCCAGACACACACACTGATCTAACTGTGGGAGGTGTTTTACTTACCACGCTGTGACCTGCATGTACTCCATGGAGGGCCAGTGCTGAGCTCAGCTATGTTAATCAGGAAATATCAGGCTGTTAGAACTGTTGAAGGTTGGCCCCGTCTGGGAAGAGTGGACTATTACATGGCTACCTGAAGCTAGCAGAGCTGAGCTCACATGGGCCACAGTAAACTCACCTTGAGCTGTGTGGACTGGTCTTTTTCAAATTGTAGTTTTATTTTTTGAAATGTTTTTGTGTGCGTTTATTTTATATAATGTTTAGCGGTTATTTTCCATTTCCAGTTATTATAAAATGCTGACTGTAGTCCTTGTGTTGTACGGTACACCCCTTGTAGCCTGTCTTACCCCCAGGAGTTTTGTACCTTCCCTTCCAATCCCTATGTTGCCCCTCACCTACTCTCACCCACTCCTCCGGTGACCGCTGGTTTGTTCTTTGTATCTGTGAGTCTGCATCTCTCTTATTATGTTCACTCGTTTGTTGGTTTTTTTTTAGGTTCCACATATAATTGATAATATCATACAGTATTTGTGTTTTTGACTTATTTCACTTAGCATAATGCCATAGAAGTTCACACATGTTGCTGTCAGTGCCAAGATTTTGTTCTTTTTTGTGGCTCAGTAGTAACCTATTGTATATGTGTATATACGCCACATCTTCTTTATCCATTTATCTGTCAGTGGACACTTAGGTTGCTTCCATATCTTGGGCAAGTGCAAATAATGCTGCTGTGAACATTGGGATATGTGTTCAACTGGTCTTTTTTTTTAAAAACTGCATTAACATTTACATATATTTTATCTTGATCACTGAAAAATCACTTGGCCCTTACTTTCATAAGAAAATAGTCGATCTCTTTAAGTAGGAGTACTAACCCTGTGTCTTGGCTTTACCTGGTCCATATTTACATGTGAGATGGACAGTAACCTGACTTAGTTACCTAGTAGCATATATAGGTTCTCAACATGGCCCAGCTGTGGAGACTTGCTCCTCCTCGGCATGCGTCTTCGTAGATGTTCAGATCACAGAGTTTCCACCTGGGATGTAGTTCATGTTGCATTCCTTGCCAGTCCTTCCCATTCTGCTCCCTCTTCCAATCTTGGGAAATTTAAAGAACTATTTGGACGTTTTGTCTCTGTCTCTGCTACCTTCTTAGGAGATGCTATATTCAGTAGTTAAAGTGCAGGCTCTGGAGCGTAGGACTGCGTGGCTCTGAAACTCCACCTCTGTCAGTTTTTAGTTAAGAAGATTGGGGGATTATTTTCATACTTTAATTTCCTCATCTTTGGAACAGTTAGATAGCAGTAGAACCTACTTCATAGAAGGATTGTGAGAATTAAATGGATTCCTCACTTAAGGCTCACAGAAGAGGGTTTAGTCATAAAAAAGTGCTCAATAATTGTTAATATTTGTTATAATGATCAACAAGAAGCTCATGCTTCCATGTTCCTTGCAAGTGAACCTTCATAACTTGCAGTGATGTGGCTCCCTGTCTCATTTTATCTTCTCAGAGCTCTGTGACACTAACTCAGTTTTTATAGTTGTTGAAAGGCATACTGCAAGTCACTCAGCACCTGTGATCAGTGTGAAGTCGTCCTTTTCAGGTGCATTTCCTTAGTAACTGTGGACTGCTAGCCATGCCTTTCAGGGAAGGCAAGGGCCTCAAACTATGGCCCGTGGGCCATATCTGGCCTATTGCCTCTCTTTATGCCATCTGTGAACTTAGAGTGATTTTTGCATTTTTAAATCACTGGGAAAAAAAATGAAAGAAAAATATTTTGTGACACATTATAAAATAATATGAAATTGAAATTTCAGTATCTATACATAAGGTTCTAGTGGAACACAGACAGGCCCACTTGTTTGCATATTATCTATGGCTGTTTTCATGGAAGCCACAGACATTATTATACTATTTATGGCTACTCCCTTTAGGGGAGTTTAAGATGGAGATCAGAAATGAGGCACTCTGTGCTCTGGAGAACTGGCAGAACAGGTCTTCAGATAGATGTTTTCAGGATTTGATATTAGGAGCCCAGTTCTTTCATCTCCTCATATTTAAAAAAGCACTTATTTCCTTCATGGTGACATCAGTTTCTCTTAACTAGCAGAAAACCTTTGCAAAAATAAGTGCTTTTTTTGCATGAACTCCCCCTTTACCAAAATTGAATATATACTGTCCTTCCTTCGCCACTTTTTTGGAGCAGTTTCTCAGAGCTATCTGAGGTGCTATCTCCCAGACTATAGCGCTCATTCTGCCTAAAATAAAACAGCTCACAACTCTCTTGTGCATTTTTTAAAAAGTTGACAGAGTGCTCTATGTACCAGCCACAGTATGTGTCCTGAAGAAGCATTTCCAGCCCCCAGGAAACTTGGTATAATGAGTGGAATGGACAGGGAGCCAACCAGTGCAGTTGGATATGAGTAGTGCTTTGATACAGAGATACACAAAATACTTGGGAAGGAAAGGATGGGTGTTTGGCTCCATCTTGGAATCATGGAAGGCTTCCAAGAGGAGGTGATAACTTAAGTGTGGTCAGATGGTGTCTCTCTCCTGCACACAGTAGACATGTTCTGTGTAACAAGTGAAAAGATTTAAAAACAAATGTTAGATAAAAAACAAAGCTAATACCCTTTTCTCATGACTACTCCTGATTGCCTCTCCCCTGTCATATATCCTTCTGTGTCTTTATGATTTATCTCTACAGTAATTTTTACCCTGGGACAGTCAGTATTCTGTTGTAAACCTGTTTGCAGAGTCAGACTTCCAGATGTCCTGAAATTTGCCTGGATGGGAAGGATTTCAAAGGTTTTGATGTTGGTCCTGAAGACGAGGGCAAGCAAGCTTTTTGATGCTTCTGGGACCCCAGGCACTCTTAGACCTTTCTTGTCCTCCAGGTAGAGCCTCATGACCTCTTCATGGGGGCAGACTAGGTACCAGAGCCTCCTTGTTGGGCAGGAAGTATTCCTTGCTTAAGGAAGCTTGGGTTTGCTAAGGCTCTTGAAAGTCTGGGAGTTTTACAATAAACATAAGCTTTAACTAGACAGTCGTAAAAACTTTTGAGCAAGCATGTCCTTCTCTGCTGCTGTAAGAGACCCCTTATAAACTTTCTCTTCTCATAACACCT